GGGGGGGGGGGGGGGGGGGGGGGGGGGGGGGGGGGGGGGGTTGTGGGAAACATGCCTGACCTCAAGTGGAATTCCGTTTCTTAGCCCGACGGCTATGGTTGTTCACCGTGAAAGCCCGGCGGCTTTGACACCTGTTAATTCGGTATTGACATGGAAGCAGTGAAAGTGATCCACGATGAAAGGACGATAAATCAGGAAAACAAGTACCGGTATGAAAGCGGCGCCTCCTTGCGGAGGATCACACCCAGCACCCAAGTGGGACGGCTGAGCGATTCACACTCTGACATTGGTTTGCTGTTAACTCAGTTCCCAAGTTGAGAAGGAAGGTGATGGAACAGCCAGGCGAAAAAGTCCGGTGACTTGAATTGTTGAAAATTGTTTCACTCGCGCGGCTGAAATGCAATGCACAAATTGCTGAAAGCTGCGGTGGGAAACCTATGTGGGGAAGGAAAAACATGAAACACCATGAATCACACCAAAGGAGTGGACAGCGTGCGCAAAAGTTCATTGAGCAGGTACACAATGCGGCGTCCCGCATTGCTTCACCACGAACTGACAGCGTCTTCGTTGGGCAATGTCTGTCAGTCGTGCATTGCCCCCCTGCTTGAACAGTGGAAATTGTGAGGTGGAACCCTTGGAGACAGGGGTTGACACACACACACACACCAAACAGGAATCACAACAATTGTCCTTCCAGATCTAGGATCGTTGGGATCATGAGGGGGTGTCTTCAAGGAGGGTTGAAGAACCCGAGCTTCGGTGATGGGTCCTTGCTGCTAAACGCTCATCTACTGGGGCACGGCCTCCCCCAAACAGGTTTGATGTTGTGTTGAGCAATGGCAGCCATACATGACCAACCATCAAATATAACGGGGAAGACAACAAAACAAAAGCAAATGAACATGCAAAACAAACGCAACAAGCAAAAACAAAAGCGAAAATAAGGCAAACAAAAAGCGAACATAAAGCGAAAAAAATGAGCTTGCGTGTTTGTCGCTTCTTTTCACGTTTTTCCACTTTCTCCTAGGAACCTACAGCGAATATTTCTCACGGGTAAAAGTGTTCATATGTTAAAAAGTTGTACCAGCAAAAAAAGCCAAAACAATGCGACAAAAATGTGAAAATAATGTGGACAACATGTGAAAATTAAGCGAAAAACGTGAAAAATAACGATAACCACGCAAAGCTACCTTTTGTTGTTTTTTTGTTTGCTCTACCTTTTGCCTTTTCCGCAATAGCCATGCTATGGGGCCTTGCAAAACGGCGGACGGGCGCCGTCGGGTCACCGTCAGAGCTGGTGGGCGGATGGTATCCCGGTCATATTTTGACGGTGTCCCGGTCATGTTGCGACCGTGTCCCGGTCATGTTTTGAAGGTGTCCCGGTCATGTTGCGACGGTGTCCCCGTCATGTTGTGATGGTGTCCCGGTCGTGTTGCGATGGTGTCCCGGTCATGTTGTGATAGTGTCCCGGTCATGTTGTGATGGTGTCCTGGTCATGTTTTGATGGTGTGTCTCGGTCATGTTTTGATGGTGTCCCTGTCATGTTGTGACGGTGTCCCGGTCATGTTGTGATGGTGTCCCGGTCGTATTGTGATGGTGTCCCGGTCATGTTGTGACGGTTTCCATCGGTTTCCCGGTCATGTTGTGATGGTGTCCAGGTCATGTTTTGATTG